ACCTTGAAATTTTTACTGTAAATGTCGCATGTTATTTAACTTATTTGGCAAAGTTAAATAAATACATGTTTCTGTCTTCGTTCTCCTAAACCACCATCCACATTTAAATACTTTATGTATAACAATATCTCTGTTGATTTTCTTATAGTTATACAGTAATTTATATATGCACGCACGCTAGAAAGGTGTGCTGTGTGAATAAAGCGTGCTAATTTTACAAGGTGTGCTATTTTCATAAGGCGTGTTTAAGAAAAAGATGTGTTATTTCGGAAAAAGGCGTGCTACTTCTCAAGGTGTGTTTTCTTCAAAGGTGTATTATTTTCAAACTGTGAGCCGCAATAACACAACCTTGGTCTGAAAGGTGTGTTTCGCCAAAACGTGTGTTATTAAAAGGTGTGTTATATTAGAGAGGTGTGCTGTTTGAATAAGGCGTGCTAAATTCCAAGGTGTGCTATTTTCATAAGGTGTGTCAATTCGGATTTAATGAGGTGTGCTGTTTCACAAAGATGTGTTATCCCGAAAAAGGTGTGCTATTTCTCAAGGTGTGTTCTCCCCCAAAGGTGTGTTATATTCAAACTGTGTGCTACAATAACACACCTTTGGTCTGAAAGGTGTGTTTTTCCAAAAGGTGTGTTAGATGAATGGTGTGTTGCAAAACACACTGCCGTTTCGCACTGTGCTATTTAGCACACCTTGTGTGTTAAAGAACACATTAAGGTGTGCTAAAATGTAATGATTATCAAGCTTAGCACACAACGTGTGCTGTTGTAACACACACAATATGTTTAACAACACAAGTTGTGTGTTGTTAAGCACACCTATTTTTAAGAGTGTGGGTCTGATATTTTCAATTAACCAATCAGAACGTACCAAGCCGGTGAGAGGTAGTGGTAGTGAAAGTCAAATCTGAACCTCGCTATTAACAGAAGATTGAAAAATAATTATGGGGAGTCACATCTTTTTCCTTGATCATATATGTTCCGAATAGGTATTTGTAAAGTAGTTGTCAGATCTGACGTCTGTCAGATATTTATGACGAGTTATAATAATGCACGCCTTAAATCATTTCATATAAAAAATATGTAGTAATTCGGGCAGATTTATCAGAAAATATTTCGAATTCAGGTTATTTCATTACAATCCAAAATAAAAACTGCCTCTCCCCCCCCCCGAAAATCGCGAACTCCGTACGCCCGGTTTTTAAATTACTCTCAGGAGTTTTTAAATTTTTCGATTTCGTCGATATTTTTCGCAGACGTTTTTAGCATGACGGCAGCACTTTACTTGCGATAGTAACTTCTAGTTTGACTTAATTAAAGTATTGCATAACTTTAAATTAATCTCCTAGTCAATACTAGCACTGTCTTGTAATCCATCAGTGCGCGACGAATGTCGTAACTGTAAACTTGCATCGAGTTTCGCGGTAATTTCCCTGAGAATGTTTTCTGAGAAGACTGCTGATGTAAGTGCAGGGATGCAGCTCATGATGCAGAGATTATCTGTCGTCACAACAAAGGAAGGAGTAAGTCGCGGTTTAAGTTTTAAACCTCGTTCAGACGACGTGTTCGTCGTGACTCCACCAAAATGCGGCACAACATGGATGCAACAGATTCTACATCAGTTACGTAGTGGTGGCGATATGTCATTTGAGGACATATATGATGTTGTCCCTTTTATCGAGTTGGCTTATGATACTGAAATAGATCTCGAGGCTGAGCACAAGTATCAACCACGGTAAGATACTAAAATTCCACCGACCCCATATTACATGATTAAATTGTGAATTACTATCGCAAGGAAGTGTTGCCTCAGGGATCAAAGGTAACCCCAGCGATGAAAGACAGCATGCACATTTCGCTGAAGAAGGGCCTGTTTATATGATCCCAGTTTGCCAGGAAGAGATGTGCAGCGGGATTATTTTGATGCATTGAAATAAGTTACAATGCACGATTCAGCAAAAAACTTCATTATTTTCTAGAGATAGATTATAGTTAACTGTAAACAAAGGGTTGTTCAAGTAGCAATATAATTTTCTTGCCTACAAGATCTTCTCTAGTATAACATTCTGTTAACCGATTAAGTTCCCTTGTCGAGTAAATGTTCTGGTATTAAACAGGCTAAATTAATGAAGTAGGGCACATCATGAGGGCGCAATACGAATGAATGGGTACTCTACCAGATCTTACTAGAATCTATCTGTATCAATGCTTGTCAAAACTGATATAAACACTGCTATAGCCTAACTGTGAAACTATTGAAATCTAAAGTGACATTACTGAATACATGCGAAAAGCTGAAAGACTGATGAAATACAACATGACCTTGGGAATACAAAGTCCAAAGGTCGATGAGACTTGTTGTGAAACAAGTCTTTGTGAAACATGTCTCAATTAGGTAACATGTAAAATGCGGAAGCGATGCAGAACGAAACGGAGCGGATGCGGAACGGATGGGGGATAAAATGCGTCATGTTAATGAGTTTTTCTGCCTCTTTTTACGTTTCTGTGTTTTCAATTATGTTTTTTTTTGCAATGGAATGCAACGTTTTAGTGCTTATTGTTCATAACATATATTGTACAACTATTTTAATTAAAGTTGTCACTGAGATAATAGTCAAATGTGCACTATAGGTGCTAAAAGGATGATGAGAATAATCATAGTTTTAAATCAGTTTAGCATATCAGTAGCCTCGTGGCCCTTGGGGATACTTTTAGCGACAGCTCGCAATCCAAATGAAGTTTTAAAATTGCAAAATTTGGTTGTGAGTGAAACAATTTAAATTCCGAGTTGTCGCGTGTAGCATCACCATAAATAAATTCAGTCAGTTTCACGAGGCACGACATCATAAATAAATAAATTGTTTCAGTTCCACGAGGCACTTGTTAGGCTTGTTTCAAACTGGGTTCCGAGTTTGCAACTCAGCCACGGCAGGCAAAGTTTTCTGCTTGCGCGCTGTCTGAAAATTATAAAAAATCTCACTCGGGAACATTTCATCCTTATATATATATATATATATATATATATATATATATATATATATATATATATATATATTATATATATATATATATTATATATATTATATAGTTTTTCGTTTTACCTCAAAAAACCACAACAGTCTATTTCATCTGTCTTTACCTCAAAAAACCACAACAGTCTGTTTCAACAGTCTGTTTCATATATATATATATATATATATATATATATATATATATATATATATATATATATATATATATATATATATATATATATATATATATATATATATATATATATATATATATATATATATATATATTATATATATAATATATATAATATATATATATATATATATATATAATATATAATATATATAATATTTATATATATAATATATATAATATATAAAATATAATATATATAATATATAAAATATACATATACATATACATATATATATATATACATTGTCATATATATATATATATATATATATATATATATATATATATATATATATATATATATATATATATATATATATATATATATATATATATATGACAAACAGAACGGCTACGTTTGAAGAAGTTTATTAAAAAATACAGTATATGATTAAATACAAAAACTAAATTTTCGGCTGCATGCCACAGCCTTCATCAGAGTGCCTAGCTTAACTACGGAACATACTTATATACAATAAATATGAATAAATTACTATTGTTGGGCGAAATCATGACTACCATTAAGACCTTTCCGGTTGGTCAACAACATTCCTATCCAAAAGTTTTCACTCTTCAGTAATTCACTGTGGTGTTGATCAATAAGCATAAATTTTAAGCTCGAATGATCCGCCTCATGCACATCAATAAAATGATTGGTTATACTGCATGTCCGGCGCTTATGCTTAATGTGTGATTTGTAGTTAGCGAGTTTGACTAATGGTCGAGGGTAATAGGTCGAGGGTGGAATGTCGAGGGTCGAAAAAAATGTCGAGAGTCGAAAAAAATGCCGAGGGTGAATTTTTTGACTCTATAATTTGTTCGCAAATTTTAGCAACAGAATCGTTAACCATTACACATACATATCACAATTAACTTGCTTTAGCCCAACGTCAATGTTTTAACCCTATTATGGAATTTGCCATGGCGCAGAGTAGTATGGCGTCAGATTTCCGCCAATATTCATGTTGATATTAATTCAACATGTTTCCGTATTGAAGTGAATTTCGACATTGAACATATCAAATTCAGCATGCCACTTTAATTCAGCATTGCTTCAATTTCAATATGTTTCCCTCATTGATGTTAATTTGAATATTGAACATGTCAAATTTAAGTGAAATACAACATTGAAGTATAGATATTGAAGTAATTTTCAATGTTGAAGTTTCAAAACATGTTGAAAACGCATCGCTACATGAATTTGAGAAGTGAATATTGGCGGTTATATAGCACCGCGTTAAATATCCGCCAATATTAATTAACACTTCGTTAAACTTCCCCCCTGGCATATTCCTATATGACGGCTACGAACGAGCGGAATCAGCGGTGCACTGAACATTATTGAGGATATAATATCGCGATTAGACAGCTAGCCTTGGTGACCCAGATTGTGTAGAGGGATTGGCAATACGATTTCACGTTTTAAAGACGAGATATCTTGTAAATATTAGAATGGACGACATCTGCATGCACTTTGCCGGGAATTGCTGGATAGGGTTTGCAAAAATTTAAACCAATTTGAGCAGCGGCAGCGCTATTCCGCCATGATTAACTATGCATTTCCAGCACAGGTTTATGCCGTGGAAAACCTTCGTAGGTCCTTCGTATGATATACACGATGGGCAATTTTTATAGCGAAGTAAGCAGTATGAAAGAAGTAAGCATACATGTAAGAAAGTTATGGCTTATGCACATCCTATACACGGCCAACACAATGGTTATGCAGCACTGTATATGTTAAGCCCAAGTCGACAAACCTTGGGAAACTGATGTAAATGTAATTCATACATGTAGATCAATTTTTATTGAAACCACAACTTCCTTATGTGGGGATTGGTGTTAGTGAAAAAATCTATACACTGATCTCTGAATTGACGAAGACTGATCAGGTCGTTTGCCGACCTTAAACGAAAACAGGACTGCAAATTTCAGTTTTCAATAAAATTCAAGTTTTCATGTAATATATGAACAACGAGAGTGAGTGTTTCACCGGGATATCCAAACACGAGAAAACAATGTATGAGAACACGAGCGCGAAGCGCGAGTGTTTTCATACATTGTTTTCGAGTGTTTGGATATCCCGGTGAGACACGAGCTCGAGTTGTTTATATGGCTTCTCAAATGAATCGAGACGCAACAGAATGTTTTCGTTTGCTGATTTGAATAGAATTCTTAACCAAGCATAACGTAATTAGGAATTTTATTCAAGTAATTTTGCATGCGTAATTAAGATATTTGATGAAAACACTAGTGACTTTCATCAAGTTTCACCGGGTTATCCAAATGGCATCTTGTGATCAAATAGGTGATTATCATTGGCTGAATTACTCATGAATTATTAATGAATTTGAGAAGAATTAATCCAAAATGCCAAGTTCCTGGAGTGGACGGATGACTGCACTGCCACCAACCGCCCTCCTGCCACTGACATGGTTTTTTATGTCTGCTCAGCATATTGCATTACTAAGCTAACCTTTTTCTTCAAACGGTAAAAAATGTAAATACCTAGATATCTTCGTTCTCATTCTATGCGGTAGTTCTGTATAAAATTTAATGTGCAGTCAATCATATTAAATCCTGATGATAAGACGCTATATATACATGTACAGTACGTGTTGCATATATAATCACTGTGTCGGCCGTGTAAGATGTGCATAACTTTCTTACATGACACACTCGTGCCAAATAACCTCATTCGCCGCTCCAAAGTTAGCGTACACCCATCATACTGCTTACTTCGCTATAAAAAATTCAATTGCCCATCGTGTATATCATACGAAGGACCTACGAAGGTTTTCCACGGCATAAACCTGTGCTGGAAATGCATAGTTAATCATGGCGGAATAGCGCTGCCGTTGCTCAAATTGGTTTAAATTTTTGCAAACCCTATCCAGCAATTCCCGGCAAAGTGCATGCAGATGTCGTCCATTCTAATATTTACAAGATATCTCTTTAAAACGTGAAATCGTATTGCCAATCCCTCTACACAATCTGGGTCACCAAGGCTAGCTGTCTAATCGCGATATTATATCCTCAATAATGTTCAGTGCACCGCTGATTCCGCTCGTTCGTAGCCGTCATATAGGAATATGCCAGGGGGGAAGTTTAACGAAGTGTTAATTAATATTGGCGGATATTTAACGCGTGCTATATAACCGCCAATATTCACTTCTCAAATTCATGTAGCGATGCGTTTTCAACATGTTTTGAAACTTCAACATTGAAAATTACTTCAATATCTATACGTCAATGTTGTATTTCACTTAAATTTGACATGTTCAATATTCAAATTAACATCAATGAGGGAAACATATTGAAATTGAAGCAATGCTGAATTAAAGTGGCATGCTGAATTTGATATGTTCAATGTCGAAATTCACTTCAATACGGAAACATGTTGAATTAATATCAACATGAATATTGGCGGAAATCTGACGCCATAGAGTAGGTATGCTTCGCCAGAGGCGTAGCCAGGATTTTTGGTCATGGGGGCCAGCAAAAACCCAGGTGGGGCCAAAAAAAATTTCCG